AAACTTCAGACAGGCCTGTATATGTGCTTTCTTGCGGGTACTTCAGGATTTCAGTCCTTCACGGCATAGTTTATCAATTGTTTTCTTGGTGACTATGGTCCCACCTGCCTTGAGTTCATTAACAAGATCATCCTGTGTAGTCCTGGGCTGATTCCTCACCGTTCTCATGATCATTGAAACTCTTGCATGGAGCACGAGACCGAGGGAGACTGACCGTTATTTTGGTTTTCTTCCATTTGCGAATAATCACACTAACTGTTGTCACCTTCTCACCAAGCTGCTTGGCAATGGTCTTGTAGCCCATTCCAGCCTTGTGTAGGTTGGACAGCTCTTTGGTTTTGGCCATGGTGGAGAGTTTGGAATCTGATTTGCTTCTGTGGGCAGGTGTCTTTTATACAAGTAACGAGCTGAGATTATGAGCACTTTCTTTAAGAGAGTGCTCCTAATCTCAGCTCGACACCTGGGAGACAGAAATCTTGCTGATAGGGGATCAAATACTTATTTTACTCATTGAAATGCGACTCCAATTTATAACTTTTTTGACATGTGTTTTTTCTGGATTTTTGTTTTGTTATTCTGTCTCTCACTGTTAAAATACACCTACCTTTTAAAATTATAGACTGATCATCTCTTTGTCAGTGGACAAACGTTCAAAATCAGCAAGGGATCAAATACTTTTTCCCACGGCTCGAGTCCTGCTGGAACTCGTGGGAACAGCGTTCCTGCACTTTTTTTAAGAGCAGGAACACCGTTCCTGTTTGTGGTCCTGCAGGCACCTAGGGGGCGGCAAAAAAATGCCGCCCCCAAATGCCCCCTGTTTTCTCCCTGTCATGGGGGGGCCCAAGAAGTGGCCTGATGGACCCCCATGGCGGGCGCCTGTCTCCTCTCTGCTCTCTCGCGCGCTATTTGCTGATGCCGGGTGCCAGGATATGACGTCATATTCCAGCTCCCGGCATAAGTAGACATCCCACGCGGCAAGAGGGTTCAGAGAGGACACAGCTCCCTCGCCGCGTCTGACAGCGAGACAGGCGCCCGCCGCACTGAAGCCCCACTGGACCCCAGGGACAGGTCCACGCCAGCTCTCCAGGTAGGGAAGCTGGGTGGACATTTTTAAATTCAAAAAACATATATGAATAATTTTTGTGTGTGTGCATGCGCACGTTTATATATGCATACGAGTGTATTTTTGGGGGGGGATGGAACTTGGGTGAGTTCCCACACCTTATTCCCCAGGACTTGACCCCTGCTTTTTCCCCTCACTATATATTTCGGAAGACATTTAGGCTAGTTTCTTTTTGGTAACAGATGTAGGATATCCATCAACAATGTCACCTAATTGTATATCTGTATCCTTTAGAGTGAGAGAAACACAATGGTATCTCCTGCCGTTGTCCGTGCACTAGTAAAAAATGTGTGCAGAAACTTATTTTTTTTTTAATATTAATCCACAACTTTCTGAAAGGAGAAGTACAGATTAACTTTGTGATATTTGCCAGCCAGGGGTGGGGCTGTTTTGTCACAGCCTGGGTTCCTTGGTCTAATCCTGCATGCATAGAGAAAATATTGGCCAACTTTTGTTTAATACAAAATGAGATATGTTCTTTTGCCAGCACGGCTCTTGTCTTGCTGAAATCAAAACATAAGGAACGCACCCTTAAGACTAATAGAGGAGAGGGTTTAGTGTTGCCATAGAATGGTTTGACACTCTGCATTTTTTTCCTTTCTTACAGATTATGTATAAAAAATATATATTTTGACCTTAAATTGTTACAAAGCAAAAGTGATTTAGAATGTTTTGACTGTTGCAAACATGCACTTGGGCTGCATGTGACCTCTAGAATGTAAGCTAAGCTAGTCCTCATCAACCTATTGTTCCTGCAATATTTTGCAAGTGTCTCATTTATTGTTACACTTACCCTTTTTATAATATTGTAAAGTTCTGCAGAATAGGTTGGTGCTATATAAATACCAATAATAATAATAATTGTGACCAAGGCAGAACATTTATATCCATACCGGAACTTTACAAGGGTAGATGTAAGATCTATATATTCAAATAAATGTTTGCTTCCCTAGGCAACATGTAAGTCTTGAAATGTCGCAAAACCACATATTAGCACGTTGCTGGTTCTCCAGGGCAATCTTTCCCTTCTGAGAATCAGTATTTGTGTGAGAGTTATGTTTTTATTGCTGCTGCTGTCCAGATCTATTCAGAATGGAGCCGTTATCCATGTTCCTTTTTTGACATACTATCAATTTACCAGGTAGTTGAGACCAACTACATTTAGGGCAGGAAACACACCTTTTATTCCTGTCATTCCGCGCTTCTTGCCCTTAATTGAATGCAGTGTTAATTTTGTCGACTAACAATTTTAGTTAATTAAATGTTTTGAGATTTAGTCGACTAAAACTAACATTTTTATTTTTTTTGTCAAAAGACTGACTTAAACTACATAAAAAAAAAATTGCCGCCAATATTAACACTGCATAGATGGGCTGTGGAAGAGGCAAAGAGACAGACCAGGGCTTGGGAGTGAGACACCTAGAGGGGCGGGGAGGACTCAAAGACACTGAGGGTTTGGGGAAGGGGCAAAATAAACAAAGAGAGGCTTGAACTAAAGTAAATAGATAAATTGAAATTGAAACAATTCAGATGAGTAAAATATGACTAAAACAGCTTTTTAGTCAAAAGACTATGACTAAAATGTAATTGAAATTTTACACCAAAATTAACACTGATAGAATGGATTAAATAAATTAATAGATTCTCTTACAGATGCATAGCCCTACACCCATTTAGGTATCAAAATCCGCAAAATACTGTCCAGGTTTTTACAAAAATCAAACATGGAAAAATTAGGCAGACAGAAGAATGTAGAAATATATATACACACTAAATTACGAGGGTGGGGGGTAATATCAAATAAAGAGCTTGACTTTTTGGATATACATGCAACCAGTCTCTTCAATAGGAGTGCAAAGATTGGACATTGTTTTACCAACTTATGTGAATATGTGTTCTGTGTAAGTCATCATTTGGTATTGTAGCAATAGAAATATAGACAACATAATCCCAATCTGAAATAGCATTTTAAATTTATTCAAAAAAAAAAAAAAATCTTGACTTTTCTGTGTGTGTGTGTGTGTGTGTGTGTATATAAATAAAAAATATGGAAAACAAGAAATAATGTAATACATAGTTAATTGCTCAGTGCTTATAAATCATCTGATGTAGTACATGAATACTTATCAAGCGTTGACAGTACAGCTGTGGTGATCATAGCTGGAGCAATATTTATCTTGCGCTTATATTAATATCCTATTTCTATGTTCTTTTTAAGGTCGGGCTTAGGCAGCTGGATATGTCCCTCCTGTGCCAGCTTTATTCCCTATATGAGTCCATCCAGGAATATAAAGGTGCGTGCCAGGCAGCTTCCAGTGCAGACTGCACCTACGCCATGGAAAATGGATTCTTTGATGAAGAGGAGGAATACTATCAAGAAGCTGGTGACCTTCACAAGGGAGTGAGAGACGATTCTGAAGGAAACCTAGCATTAAATGTAGCACAAAACAACGACTGGATACTGGAGAATATTTAACACGGCATATCTGACTTGAGGAAAATTGGGGAAACACACTCTGTTGGTGCCGAAACTTTTTCTTTTTTTTCTTTTTTTCTTGTAATTTTGATTTCTAAGGAACCTTTTTAAGGAAAATGCCGTTTTTGTTCTAAAAACATATGCCTGGCATATTTTCGAAGACTGATCTCCCACGCGTCCACCATGGGTGGTTTATATTGCTACAAGCAATTTAAAAAATAACTTTGTAATCAAGTGCCTTTAACATCCTGCTGCACTTAAACCATTTTCACTGGGAGCACAGACTTTTCAGGACGACATATTTAATATGTGTAAGACTAGAAGTTAGAGGTAGAAATGATCACTTTGGCCAATCCTGTGTAGGTATTGAGTAAAGCTCCAATACAGGTGTAGTTAGATTTGTGTTGCATTCAATTACCTCAAACTATGGAAAGCTTTGTAACGCTAATATATCTAGTGACAATATCATCCAGGCATAGGCAACATTTGTGAAATACCTGTTGTACGTTCCTAGATTGCATGAAAGGGCTCAAACTGATTTTAGAGATTCTTGCCATAAAAAATTGCATTCTACACCCCACCAAAGTTATTAGAAATGTGATTTACGTCATGAGAGTTTGAGGAGTTATCTTAAAGTGACATTACCCTTTCTTTCTAGAAGCAAACGTTAAAATGGTGTTGCCACCTGAATAGTGTAAGATTGGCATGTACCATTACAGATACACTCCATTTTATGTTGACTGCTGTTCAATGCTTTCTGACAGCTGCCTAAACACGGGGTTGGTGAAAGAATGTGCTTGGGCTCTAGTCAATCAGTGCCAGGTTTCCTAGAGGCAACATTCTGGCAATAAGTTTCTCTTATTGATAATGAGAGCGGTATTTGTAATTCGCACATGGCACTTACGGTTGACTATATCAATTTCATAAAAAAGTTATTTACTGCAGAAAGAAATGTTTAATCACAGAAGAGAAAGATGCTTCATACTGAAGTATTGATGGTTGTGTCATAGGATAAAGTTGCCTGTATCATAAAACATACACATAATGTTTTCTTATGTAAATGCTTTTTTTTTTTTTTTAATACAATGGCTCTTTAAATACATTTACATTTTTAACACTTGTTGAAAACATGGGGTAGGCAAATATCTTGTTATTGTTATGACTCGATCATGTTATTTGACCATAAATGCGTTAAGGGAATAATGTATGTAAAATATTTTTAACATTATCGTCACAATTGAGATCAAATTTAACTTCTAACACTGCATTGATTACCCCCAAGGCACGGGACTAAGGAATGTCAAGACATCTCCATGACGTGTACTGCACCAGGGGCTTGATTATAATTTCACAAACTGGTAGAATTGGCAGTGTTTCGTCTTGTTAGGTACTCTGTAAAAGCATAAATGGTTTTACCAAAAGTTGCAAAACAAGATGTACAAACACATTGTTATTATATACTTTTATTGTCGTCTTATTAGGCTGGCGACTAATTGCAGAGCACTGCTTATACTCATACATATATGCATAGGTAATGCTTATTTTTGACTCATTAATAAATATTCTCTACTAAGGCATTCAAAATAGAATGTACAAAAGGTAGTGTACTTACTTATTCACTGTGTTAAAAGAGCACTCCAACCACCATAATTACATCTCAATGGTGTCTTTCTTAGAGGGGTTAAACAATTTGTCCAAAATATTTCAAATGGCATGTGTTAGCTCAGCCCTTCATACCCCACATCAGTCCTAAGCTTTTTGAGGAAGCTTTGGACTGGATGCAGTTGACACCCAGACCACTCCAATGGGCAGAAGTGGTCTGGGTGCCTGGAGTGTCCCTTTAAGGAGTTAAAGTAACACTTTGGGCCCCATAACAACGTCATCCCAATGAAGAGGTGAGGAGGAGGAGGAGATTGTTTTCCTGGCACTGGAGTTTCCCTTTAAGGACACATGACATGTGTGACATGTTATGATTCACTTTTATTCCAGAAGTTTGGACCTAAGGGGTTGAATATCTGCACTGGTGGGGGCAAATAATGAGGAGCACATATGCGTCAACATATTTCCTAATAGATTGCAAAGAACAAAGGTATAGAACTGCCCCCCCAGATATTGTACTACAGTTCCCATCATTCTTTTGCAGGCTTTCAACAGGCACAAAATTGGAGCTGAAGGCCACAAGTGGACGCTCCCTACATAAGTAAGAAAGGGACAAAAAACAATCCTTCAGCATTTTTTTTTTTATTTATTTTTTTTTTCTGCATTTCCATTCAAGCAAACTTTTAACTGTTTTTAAAATGTCATTATGCATCCTCCTAAATGATGACTTACTGTGCTCTGTTACAACCATAATATATATAGGAAACATACCATACATTTAGCTTTAGAATTGTTTTTTACTATATTTGTTGCATTGCATTTCACACCAATCTCACACTGTCTTTATTTATAAGTACTCATGGTACTGGGATCAGTAGGAATTTTATTTTTTCTCTTTTTTATTTTTTTTCCCCCATCAAATTTTATATTTTAAACATATCATGTATTTAATTTTACAATTGTTTGACACTTTAATGATCCATCCATATGCTGCTTGCTTTAATTCTTTTTTTTGTTTAATGCACTTTCTCTTGTTTTAGTTTATTGTGCTAGTGTAGCACACATTTTTGATCACTCCACATGTAATATCTACCATATAAATATGTTTCAAATGTTCTATTGAAACATTACATTTTAAGCCAGTACACAGTAGAGGCAAGTATGTTTACTTATGGTTTCATGTACACATTCAGCATTTCTATGAAGTTTGAAAATTTGTACTTTTCTCTTTGTTTTCTTCTTTCTAGTTTGTTTGTTTGTATGTTCATTCAAAATAATGTGTATATGCATATTTATTCAAAAGAAGTGGTCATACATTTTCCTTAATAATAAAAAGGCATTTAGGATTTTATTTTCTTCTTCAGTGATGTATTTTAATACTTTGATCCCCTGCTGTGGGCAAGGGGCAAGACTTCCTGGGGTGGGGCTTGGTTCTGGGGCAGGAAGAGTGAGGTCTGCACCCTCTCAGGAATTACTCCCTCGCATTTCCAGCATTCTTTAGTGTATCTGAGCACAGTCTCTAGGATTATCCCCACTGAACCACCAGTGACCATAGCCCCCATGCTGGAGAAAGCCATACAGGAGTACAAATATACAGAGCACCACAATACATATTGCATACAGTCAGCAATCATCACAAACGGGGGATGTTGCTAGGTTTCAGAAATACCTGTGTTTTGATTACAGGTATAATGCCACCTCTAGTTGCTGTCTCTCAGACAGCCGCTAGATTGTGCTTCCGTGTTCTTAGAGCACCAAAAGTTTTAAATGACGTTCGACATCCCCACACTCCGCATGAGGACGTCAAGCGTTGCCGGAATCCCTCATAGGAAAGCATTGAATAATGTTTTTTTTATGGGGAGGTCTAGTGTGCGGCCATCGCCGAGGAGCGTGGGCAGAGCTGAGCCAGCACCGAGGGACATCGGCACTGGACCCAATTAATAACCCCTTCAGTGCCACGGGAGGGGGCCTTGACAGAAGGGGAAGCTATGGTGCCAGGAAACTGAGTTTGTTTTTCTGGCACTATAGTTTCCCTTTAAACTCTCCAGGATATCAATGATAATGCTGTAACCTGAAGACAAGCACCACCCAGACCCTCCCACCTCCTGGACAGCTCACTAAGAATGCAGCTTCACAATGGATGTAAAATGGATGCTGTCCAGGAGGTGGGAGGGTCTGCTGCTGATTGGCTGGAATGTGTCTGCTGACTGTGAGGTACAGGGTCAAAGTTTACTCAATGATGACATGGGGGCGGACCAAACAGCACATATGTTTGCCGTCCGCGGCGAACCGTTCGGGACATCACTAATATATATATATTTATCCACGTGGGTCCAGCACTCACTCTCATGGTCTTGTATTTGCCTGGATGCTTACTTCCGCCAAAATATATAATCTGAGCAAACTGCACTCAGTAGATAGATTTTCAGACTTTTATTGTGCAATTTAATACACCAAAATAGTGTCAATGTTCAGTCCACTGGGGGACTTTTTTCAAGGTCTTGTATAATATAATATATATTACATATGTATAATTTCATAGTTATGTTAGTACTTAAAATATACACAAAGGTGATTTAGCAAATTGGTATCAGGGTTCCTAGCCATTCCTATTTTGGGAGGACCGTCCTAATTTTAGGGTCCTGTCGCAACTTTGTTCCCTGGTCTCCCAGTTTTGGAAACACAAATGAATTGTCCCCAAAAAGTGAAGCATGAGTTCATGACTAGACACGCTCGCACTATGCTCGGGGCACTTGTGTATCCTAAATAAGTCCTCTGTGCATAGTCAGCCCTCGGCGGGCTAGCCTGGATGATTGACAGGCAATCTGGCATGCATTCGCCCCCTTTTGGAGGTACCTGTGACATGATCCATGTCACCGGCCCTTCACCAGCATTCCGCTTCGATGTTGGCGATATGTTATTACCATTTGTAGGTGTGACATTGTCATTTCACCATAAAATTCACCTGCTAATGTCAAAGCAAACCTTTAAGGTTTTTTGGCTGCTTTCATGTCAAAGGCAGGTCTTCTAGTGAGAAAGAAGTGGGTTTTTGTTTAGGACTGCCATGACAGTGGAATGTAATCCTTTTTTTTTTTTTCTTTTAAGATGAAAATAACATTACTGAAAAACCTACAAGCAGCTATATTTGGCTCATTTGGTCTAAAATCTCAAATTCAAATTTTTTTGTAAAGAAGTAGTTTGGGATTGTGTGCAGGTAACCTCTTCTCAACGGCAGCCAGGGATGTATCTATTGCAAGGCAAACAAGGCATTTGCATTGGGCGGCAATTTCCTGGGGGCGGCTCAAAAAACACAGCCACCAAATGCCCAGGCTAATGTCTTGTTTGCCTCGTTTTACAGGGGCTTAAGAGCTGGCTGGCCACCTTTGGGCTCAATGGGGCAGGCGGCCAGTTGTTTCCCGGGCAGGCGGTGAGGGAGCACTTTCCCCTGAGCTCTCTCTGCTCAGCTCGCTTGCGCAACCCGCAGTGATGCCGGAATATGACCTCAGTCTGGCTCCCGGCATCCCTCTGTGGTGCGCAAGGGAGCTGAACAGAGAGATCCCAGCTCCCTCGCTGAAAACTTAGAGCTCCTGCCCGCCTGCAAGTCCGGCTGCCTTCCTGCCCAGCAGCCCCACTGGACCCCACGTGAAAAATCCACCCAGCTATCCCAAAAGTAGGGAGGCTGGGTGGATTTAAATAAATTTTAAAAAATAATTGTGAGTGTAGGGGGAAAATGTGTGAGTGTCGGTGAATGTGAGGAAGTGAATGAGTGTGTGTCAGTGAATTTGAGTGAGTGTGTGTGTTCAGTGAATGTGTGTGTAAGTGATTGTGCGTGTCTGTCAGTGAATGTATGCCTCTGTCAGTGTGTCTAAATGATTGTATGTGTGTCAAATCAGTGAGTGTATGTGTGTGTACGTCAGTAAAAATGTGTGTCAGTTAACAGGAAGAGGTGAGGCCATGGCAGGAAGAGGCGGGTACATTTAAATTAGGGGTGCCCAAGATCTGTCATGCCTAGGGCAGCACCATTTCAAAATACACCACTGATGGCAGGAAGTACCTTTTAGACAGGCGGTGCGTATGCACCAGGGCCCACACACTGAAGGGGTCCATGCACTTGGGGCCACCTGATGGGTATGTGTCATCAGAGACCGGGTCATGTGCTTAGCCTCTTGAATAATGGCAGCATTGGGAAGAAGTGAGAGGCAGTCATTCATTCCCACCTAACAGAGTTATGAATACATGTGGGAGGAGAAGGCAGAGAGGCTTGGGGCATGGATTAGGAGACATAGCCCGTAACTACCAGCTACCCTCCTGCAACCAAAATATAGGTAATAAGAGAGTGGCTAAAAATGTGTATGTGTGTGTCTGTGTATCTGCATGTGTGTAAGTGTGTGTATCTGTATGTCTGTGTATCTATATGTGTGTCATTGTTTGTGTCTGTGTATCTGTGTTTATGTCAGTGTTTGTATCTACATGTCGGTGTGTGTACCTGTGTATCAATGTTTGTATCTGTGTGTCTGTGTATCTGCATGTGTGTACCTGTGTGTCAGTGTATATCTGTTTGTTTATGTATCTGCATGTGTGCCATTGTGTGTAAATGTGCATACATCTCAGCAACACTACACAGAAATACACCTCTGCATTCAAACATTCATACTACATACAAACACATCTGTACATTCACTCACACATACTCCATACAAAAACATGTTCATTACTAAACACAGCCCTGCAAATATGGGCAAATGATAGATCTCCAGCTGGCGAAGCATTGCTTTTAAATTCTGTTAACCCTTTCAGTTTTTTATGTATTGGTTCTGGTGTCCATACCCTGTCCTTGCAAGTTTTTTTGCCTAGGTACTTAGACATTCAGACAACCACTAGAAGTGCTTCCTAGTCAAGTGCTACATAGTGTGTAGCACTAGCATTCAGCTCTGCATTAGTGATGTGCGTGGGCAAAAACTTTGGTTCGTTTGGAAATTCGGGTAAGTAAAAAAATTAATCTGCTTTGGCAATTCGGACAAATGGCATTCGGTTGGATCGGTAATTCTGCCTTTCGGCAATTCGTAACTTCAGTAATTCGGACCCTTATCCCTAACCACTTGTTTTACCACTTTTCGGAAATTCGGCAATTTGAACTTCGAACATTTTTAAGCATCCGAATTTCCGAATTTCACGAAATACATCTAATTGCACATGTCTATTCTGTATGGAGGCACTGAAAGTACCTAATAGAGATGCATTGATTCATTAACTGACACTATACTGTTCCTTTAAACCCACTTGCATAATATTGTGTAGGTCCCCCCCTTGTGCTGCCAAAAGAGACTCCACAAGAACTCTGAATGTGTCCTGTGGTGTCTGGCACAAAGACATTAGCAGCAGATCTGTTATGTCCTTCAGGTTGTGAGGTGGGGCCTCCATGGTTTGGATTTGTTGTTCCTGCACATCCCATAGATGCTCAATCAGATCCAGATCTTGTTGAATTTGGAAAGCAAAGCAACACCTTGAACTCTGTCATGTTCCTCAAACCATTCCCAAACAATTTTTGCAATGTGGTCTGCAGCAAACTCTAGGTAGGTGGTAAGTGTCAAAATAACATTATAGGGAATCTATAGTGTCAGGAAAACAACTTTGCTATAGCTCCCTATAGTGCACCCCTGCCATCGTGCACACTAAGGGTTAAATAAAGCTTCTGTCACTTACCTGAGTCCAGCGCCAGTGTCCCTCGACGCTGGCTGGGGCTCTGCCTTTGCTCCTAGGCTCCTTTTGCTCTGGGTCGATAAAACTAAACCATTAATTGTTTATTTTATGCTATACAAAGATAACAACTGCACTAAACCTTCCAGAAAACTTGTGAAATCTTGTACACCGGTATTTTGAAGCAAAAAGGCCATATTGCTTTGGAGGTGGGTATGAGGGCAGAAAGGAGGGGCAAAATTGAAAATATGTAGGTAAAGCAGATATAATAAAAATGCAAACTAAACTAGACGTTTAACCTAACATGTGACTTGAGAGCCCTTAATAGCATATCTATTTAAAGAGACAGTTGGGAGACAGGGGTGCCAAATAAGAGGGGGACGTTGAGCTGAGCAACTTGTAAATAGAGTGTTCCCATAACGAAGTAGTATTTGAGGACTTTTATATTTATATTGCACAAGTTTTTTATGTTTATTTGCTTATTTTTATATTGTAGGTCTTAATATGATTTTCTAACACAAAAAAGAAACGCCCATCAGAATGTTTAATTCAGGAGAAGCTACATGTCTACACTATTAGTGATAGATGCTTTTTATTTTAAAGCACAATTTATCATGGAAGGCCAGTGAGCTGGCAAATGAGGAAGTAGGGAAA